GGGGGAGGGCGGCGGTTCGCGTGGCGGGGAGGGGGCGGCAGCCGGGCCCCGGCGGGGCGGCGGGGAGACAAAGGGAGGAAAATGGAGGCGGCCGCGAGGGCCGGGCGGGCCGCGGCCCAGCGCCGCGCTGTGGGGAACGGCGGCGGTGGCAGCGGGCAGGCGCGGGCCGCGCTGGGGACGATAGAGGGAGACAAAGCCCCCTGCTTCCCCGGCGGCGGCCGCTGCGGGGCCCCAGCCGGCGCGGAGCCCCATCGTGACACCTAGAGGCCGGAGAAAGCGACTGCAAACCCCCCGCTCACCGCTTACCTGCGCCCGCGCCCCGCCGGCTTCGCTCCCGGCGCCGAGGCCCCGCCGCACGCCGCCCCGCAGCCGCCCCGGGCCCCGCGGAGCCGCCGCTCCCCTCGCGCCCCGCCGCGGCCGCCGCTAGCGCCCAGCACCAGCTCGCGGTTTAATCGCTCCACAGTCGCTTCGGACACAAAATGGCGGCGGGCGGGGCGGAGTGCGCCTGCGCGAGCGCGGCTGCCGCGGACCGCCGGCCGGAGCGGGGAGGGGAGGGGAAGGGGGGGGGAAGGGGACGGCGCGCGCGGGGAAGCGGCAGCGCGCGGGGCATGCTGGGAGGGCGGGGCGGGGCGGGGGAGAGAGTGGGGGGGCGCGGGGCGCGCGCCAACTTCAAACGCCGGGCTGGGGCGGCGGCGTCACTTCGTGTGCGTGCGTGCGTCACGTGGTAGGGAGGGCGGGGCGGCGGCGCGCTGAGGGGAGGCTGTGCCACGCCCCGCCCCGCCCGGCCCTGAGGGGAGCGGGCCGTTCACCCAGCGCCCCGAGTTCTGTGTCCGTTCCGCATCCGCCTTGAGGCGGGAAGCCGCCTCAGCCGGAAGGCGAGGTGCGAGGCCGGGGTGGAGATAGTGCCGAGGAGGGGTTGGGAGGCTGAGGGATCGATGGGTGTTGTGAGGCGGGTTTGGATCTGACAGGGCTGCCTTGAATTCGAGGGAAACCTCCGGGTGATTTTATAAATACCGACGAGTTGGCGCTTGAGTGGAACGTGAGATTTACCTCAGCGCCCAGATTTACCTCAGCGCCGGCAGAGGCGGGCTGAGGGCGCTTCCTCTGAGCTCGTGCTGCGTCCCGTTTTTACTTTCCTACCATTAAAGTGGAGCTGGGTTAAAATTCGAATGGTTTAAGGTGCGTTGGAAAGAAGTTATTTCTTCCTGCTTTGACACGCCCTGCAGACAGGGAGCTCAGAGAGAAGGCAAGGGGACCCAAACACTGCCAGGCTGGGCAGTGCTGGGGTTGCTGCAGTTGGGGCTGATAATAAATTCCTGCTCAGATTTTTCCCTTGTGAGGTGTCATAGAAGAGCAAAAGCTGTTTGGCAGCCCAGCCTTCACCCCAACCTGCTTGGCAAGTGACAAAACTACCAGACAGACACAGCATACATTAACGTGTGTAAATTGCGCCCTTAAATCCCAGCCTGAACATCACTCATGCTGTGGAGCTGTCATAGGGATGGGAAAAGTGTGCCAGGATGCTGTGGAGGAGGTGAGCACTGTGCCTCTGCTTTCAGGGCTTATGTCACCTTATGCCCTCCCAGCCCTTACATTGGTGGGAGGGCTTTGACCACCAGTGGCCCTTTTAGGGCTGTTGGTTCATTTTGGAGGGTGATGGCACCAGCCCGAGTCCATTACTTCATTCCAGCAAGGGAAACATAGCATGGCAGGGAGCTGCAGAGGGTGTGCTGTGACTGGGATGTGGCTCTGATTCTTTAACCTCATCTGTAGGAGGAAAAAGCTAGTGACAAAGTGATGTCACAGATTGACAGTAACAGGAGGTGAGAGGGTGTAGCCCCCTGCCATAACATCCGGGGATCTTAATTGCTTCTGTGGTGTGAATTTGATTACAGTTGTTTTATTGTAAGCCATCAAACCGTCAGTTCTTACTTTGAGCAGAGTAACATACGTTGCAGGTATGGCCACAAACCCTGCTTTAAGCTCAAAAGCTTAGTTCAGCATTGCTTAACATGGTGAGGAACACTATCTGTGTGCAAGATGAGGTTTTACTTTCCTTTAAATACTCACACCAGGCCAGGAGTAACTGGCTTCTAATGTTCCATCTGCCTTTTTTTGGTAGCTGTCCTATGGCAAATGTTGCACGTCTTTTGTGTGAGGAAGCAGAAAGTATTCTCAGACACTTTCTCCTGGCCTTTTCTTGGCAGAGATGCCTAAAACCATCTACCACTGCGTGCTGGGGGTACAGCTGACCTCTTGGCCTTGGATCCCTCCATCAGAGGTGCTTTTGAGCTGATTTGCAGAGGATTCAAGCCTTTGCAATGCATCCCCCTGCCCTACTTTCAGCCTCCTGAAAATCACCTTCCTAGCATCTCCAGATCAGACACCCAGAGGCAGATGTTGCTTGGAAGTTATCTGAGGTATCTGAAGTTATTTGTCCTGGAGCCACCTTGCCCATGAGCAGAAATGTGGGAGCTAGAGCCAGGGAGCCCCTGGCTGCCTTGATGAGCTCCCAGCTCAGCTTAACCCCTCATTTCCTGCTGTTTCTAACTCTGTTCTCTGATCACCCTAGGACTATATGAGGCTGTGGGAATCACCCTCTTCCTTAAAAGGGAGAGCAAACATTAATGTTAGTTTAAATTTCGTTTTGGACACTGCCTGGAGTGCACTTTGGTCTGTGTATGAAGTGAAACCCTAGCTGTCACCTCAGAGGTGGTCCCTGGAGAACAAGCCCGTGGTGTGTGTAACCAGCAGTCCTGTGACATCCTGAACGGTCAGTGACCCTGAGGATGCTGTTGTTTTGCTACAGCTAAATGCAGAGCACTTCGCCTTCTGAATCTTTTATAAGTGCCCTAAAACGTGTGTGTAGTGAATGCTTTGAAAACGCAGTTTCATACAAGCCTTGGCTAAGGTGAGAGCTCCAAATCTGAGCCTGCTCAAGCAAGAGAATCTCCAACTACTGTGACCTCCTAAATGTGACCAGGCATCAAAATTTGGGTCATTTCTTAGACAGGAGGGACGACGATCAGAGCTTGTGATGCCCCAAAGAGGCAGTGTCTCCTTGGGGTTGTTCTGCTTGGTGCTCTTGGGGTCACCGAATCTGATGTGCTGAGCAGCTGCCCCAGCCCTGATGCTCTCCAAGGGGAGGATGCGTTGGCTGGTTGTTTTCTGCTGGTACGAAAAGGCTCTGTGCTCCTTTATTTACAAGGAAAACAGCAGTAAATGGGGTAAAGGAAAATCTTCCCAGAGCACGTGGGTAATGTAACCATGACACAGACACCTTCCCACGGACTGCAGCTCCTACAAAAAAGCAAGTGGCTGCAACAGTCATTGGTGCTGCTGAGCACACGCACATCCGTGAGAGGGAGAGATGTTTGAAGTGCTGACACAGATTGGGCTGACAAACGTGGTGCCGGAGCACTGTCTCCTTTGAAACAGCAAACATGCTGCTGCACAGTGCGCTCTGTGGTGCAGCATCCATCCGTGTGTGCAAAGACTGGCACCCAGCAAGCTGATCCATGGAGCTGCATAATTCCTGCATGGGGGCTGGAGCACACGTGAAGTCCTGGAGGGAAAAGTTCAGTCCTCCCTTTCCCATCAGCAATGGATCCTTGGTGATGCTATTGCAAACTCATTCAGATCAAGGGGCTAGGCAATACATTCCTAAATTGACTCATATATATATATATATATATATATATATTTTTTTTTTTCTAGATTATGTTAAAGCCACACAAGTGAGATTATTCCTAGGACTTCCAGGAGCAGAGTCATTTTGTACTGACGTGCAGCACCCTGCCTGCCCTGACAGAAGGCTGTTTTCCTGCTCCAATCTCTGCAGCCAAGGTGCAGCTTATCCTGGAGGATGGTATTCTGCTGCAGGGATGGGGCCAGGCTTTGGCAGAGCAAGGAGAACACCCACATAGGCTGCTGGAGCACTGAACTGTTCGTATTTCCAGGGGTTAGTTGGGGGAAAAAGAAATGACACCAAACATAGAAGTCTGGGCCACTTAATACCTTCAAGGTCTTTCTGTCCACAGGCTATTTCCCAACTGCAGCATGTTGTGAGGACCCCTATCCTCACTCCTGCTGCCTGCAGCTGAGAGCATGGTTCAGAGCTTTGGGAGAAATACTGTGCTTTTGGCCCGAGGCTTGTCCAACCCCCAAGTGTGTGGAATAATGCTAAGCTAGCAGTGATGGAGCAAAGCATCTCCTGCCTGTACCTTTCCTGCAATCCTGTCTGCAGATAAAGCCACATCCAAAAGTGGTTGCTCTGAAGGCAGCACCCTGACAGATGTCAGGCTTGCTGAGGTGGTGCTGCGTCTGCTTGATGCTACTGTGTCCCAGATATCCAGCACAGACCTGGGTGGCAGAGAGCTGACCAGAGCTGCCTCCAGCCTCCTCCTGACTTTGCAGGCTTATGGTACTAAAGCACACCCCAGTATGAGAGATGCCTGAGTGCCCTTGCTGCTGACATGGTGCTTCCCAACCACTTATAGGAAGCACATGTCCCACTTGGGACACCCTGTGCACCATGGCATGCTGTCATCCCTTTTGCAGGCTCTTATGATGCACCTCCACTAGCAGCTCGCTACCAAAACAGAACAACCCAAGAGCCTGAGCTCCCTGGGACATCTGGGTTCCCTGCAAGGGCAGAGCGGGCAGGCAGAGCCAGCAGGATAAGAACACAGAGTCCAAGGCAGCCTGGCAAAGGAGTTTTAGTAAGGATAAGAGGTCCTGGAGGCTGTAAACTGCTGGACTTTGCTGAGAAACCCAGTGAGGTACTGCTGGAGCTGACCCCAGGGGTCTTTGCCTCTGCTGGCTGTTGGGGCATTTTGCTGCTTTAACCTACTCCCCCCTCAGAACTGTGAGGGCTGCTAAGATGGTTGAAAGATTGAAGCATCTGCCATATAAAAAAAGAGCCTGGAAGAATGAAGGCTTGGAGTTGTTCTTATCCACATCTCTCAATGCTTGGTGGTGGGTAAAGAAGACAGGCAGATGCTCCTCAGTGTTGCCCTGTGACAGGATGAAAATACTGATAACAAAACACAAAAATTCCATTTAAATTAAAGAAATGCTTTTTGTGTGAGAGTGGCTGACTACTAGAAAGGTGGCACAGAAGTGTTCTGGCATCTCCATCCACAGCAGCAGTCAAAACCTGACATGATGTGGTCCTGAGCAGCCTGCTCAAGCTAACTCCATGTGAATAGGGAGGAACAGAAGGCCATGTCCCTTCCCAGGTCTGAGCGCAGCTCAGCTGTGACCCTGCTCTGCCCACTGCAGTGTGGCACCTCGGTGAGGCTTCCCATGCTCTGCAGCATCTTGGTAACCCTCACATAGCTCAGAGAAACTGAAGACTCCTTGCTCTGCTAAAAGAGATGCCTGCTATACTGTTGGTAAGACCGGAAGGTTGATCCTCACCTGAGAAACAGCCAGCTGTGTCCATCCAGAGAGCCATCCCCAGGCCGTAGATCCCTGCCCCTTGGCACAGGGGCCAAACACCCACACAGCAACACCAACGCTCATTAAAGGTTTGCTTTTATTTCTGGTTTAAAATCAAAATTAGTCATTCTCTGTAATTACATTATATATAGATTTATAGAGACATCATAGAAAAGAACTTGGTGCTTTTTTCTGCAAAAAAAATTTGTAAATAAAAAATAAAATAAAACAAACAATAACGAAAGGAAAGGGTGGCAGTGTCCATCTGTCCGTCCCTCTGTCACTCCTCCTGCCCTGCCCTCCCCAGCAGAGGGGAAGGGCTTTGGGCTGGGGCTGTGCCTCACTGTGTTCCACCGCCGGGAGGGACAGGAGCATGCAGAGCTGGAAAGAAGAAACGCCAGCAGAATATATTAATATATCTCATATCTCATTTTATTTAAGTCCTATGGACTTCCAGGTGGCAAAAGGGCAGCGGTTCCCTCCCAGCCCAGGTGACTTCTGGAAAGAAACAGCATCGCTTCCAGAGTGTGAGTCCTTCCAGGAAAGGGCACGTGGCCCCAAGCAACGGGAAGGCAAGTGGCAGAGGAATCCGGTGCGTCTCCCTGCCGCTCCAATCCCAGCAGCTGTAGCACGAAGGGTGGGTTCCCTGTGTGTTTTCAATAGCAGTCGAAGGGTGGGGTGTGCAGCGAGCCCCTCCTCGCCCAGGGGTGCACGTGTGGCACCCTGCACGGCTGGTGTTTGGGGCAGGGGAAGCGGTGCTCCGTAAGGCAGTGTGCGGCCGTGGCGAGCTGCCGGCGGGGGTGATGCTGCAGTGCTGCTGTGAGCAGGGCCGTCAGCTGGGCCCAGTCTTTGCGAGCCCAAGTGCAGCCCAGCAGTGCCTTCGTCCTCAAGGGATGGCGGGTGGCTCTATGTGGCATCTCAGAAAGCTGTGCTGGCCATGCTGGCTGGTGCGAAAATCCGTGGGAGGCTGTCCAGGGTCTCCTCCAGTCGCCGGTGTGCTGATTTGCCGTCTTCCCCTGCAAGCACGTGCCATGATCAGTGAAGCACAACAGAAGTTCTATTCCCTGCCCATCCCCAGCCTCACAACAAAAATGATGCTAATGCCTGACAGCGCAGTACAGCCACAGAACTCCTGGTAATGCATTGGCACAACTACCTGGGGAGGTGGGGGGAGTGCCTGGCTGCAGAGGAGTTGAAGAACCATGGAGATGTGGCACTGGGAGGTATGGTCAGTGGGCAGGGTGGGACTTGGATCTGAGAGTTTTTTCTAACCTTAATGGTTCTGTGATTCTCTTTAGCACACACTCGGAAAAATCCATCTCTAAAAGCCCGCAGAGTTCCCAGGCCAGGAGCTAGGGCAAGGGGGCCAGACTTGGGGCTGTGTCAGGTGCAGCATCCCAACCTGCTGTGCACTTCTGCATGCACCCACATGGGGATCCCAAGAGCTTCCCAACACCCCCACATACACACAGGGATGCACACTCCATGCTGAGAGATCTCTGCCCAGCAGCCCTGCACACAGATCTGCACACAGCAGCTGTCCCCAGCAGAGCTGGTGACATGGGACACAGGACAGTGGCACCTATGTGCACAGGCATTGCCGTGGGGCTACAGACAACCAAGACACAGACTCCAAAAAGTGACATGGCTGACAGGCTCTAAGACAGAGACATTTGTGAGCAAAGCAGCAGGAGTGGGGGCTGAGGGACAAGGACAGCTCACATGTCCCAACCTGGGCAGCAGCTGCCGCGATCTGGAGGCCTAGAAACCCACTCAGATGGTTCTCTCAGTGCCATCTAGCAAATAATAAATAACACCCACACTTAAGGCTGTGCCCGCAGGAATCCTTGCTGCCCACCACCGTCACCCCACAGAGTTTGGGCACCATGAGCTGGAGCATGGGGCAGGCAGGGATCAGCCCAGGTCCTTTTCTCCCTTGGGCAGTGTGACATGGGGTGATGCCCCTCCAGCAGCAGGGGTGACGCAGGGCACTCACCACACAGCATCAGGCTCTGCTTGGCTGCCTCCCGCACAGGCTCCTTGTCGGTTTGGCACAGGTAGACCAGCTGCTCAATGCTCTCCTTGGCCTGTAAGAGAAGGGAGAGGGCTGAGTGTGGTTGGTACCAGCCAAGTGGACGTGACCCACGGGGGAAGGCAAAGTTCCTGCAGCCCTGTGGTAGATAGCAGGCAGGACAGACCACCATTACAGCTCAACCTCCAAACCAACCCTGGGCAGAAAAAGTCACAGAATCATAGAATGGCTTGGGTTGGAAGGGACCTTCAGGATCATCTAGTTACAACCCCAAAAGTCCCTTGGTTGTGCCCCCTTTCCCTTTCTGCTGTGCCCCAGCACATTCAGGGCACCTCTAGGAGCTGGAGACTGCACAGAGACAGTAGCAGGCAGCATCAGTTCCTCTCCATCCAGCCCACAGCCAGCTCAGCCTGGAAGCAAACACCCCACGTGCTCCTTTGTGCACCCATCTCACCTTGAGGCAGCCCAGCGCCACGCAGCCGGCCACACGTATCTGCACCTCCTCATCCTCCAGCTGTCCCAGGAAGCACACGAGGGCCTGGGACAGAGCGAGGGCTCAGTGCCACCGCTCCAAGCAGCAACCCAGAGCCCACCTCCTCCCCCCCTGCCCACGACCTACCCGTTGGCGGAAGCGGGGGTTTTCCGCCAGGCTGCGGAGCTGCGCCGACACGGCGCTCACCACTTTGCTGTTTCCTTCCACGAGCAGCAAGCTGAGCGCCTTCAGCCCTTCCTTCTTCAGGCGGCCCTCAGGCACACGCTTCAGTGCCCGCAGCACCACGTCCTGGTCATCTGAGTTGAGGTTCTGTGCCAGCAGCACTGCGGGGACAGCCCAGTGAGCTGAGCATCTGTGGGGAGCTCAGCCTCCACCCGCAGCTGGCAGAGGGACCCCAGATAGGATGCTAGGGGCACTGCCCTGCTGCTGGGGCACCTGAGCTGGGGACCTGCAGAAAGCGAGGTCCAAAGGGTGCCCAGGATGGTAGTGTAGGAGGGGGCTGAGCACCAGCAATGGTCAGGGTAAGTGAGCCCTTGGGTGATACCCCACAGTGCTGTACACCCTACAGCCTCCAGCTCAGAGCCTGGCAGGAGGGTACCCACCTTCCTCTGCCAGCTCCATCACGTAGTTGTCGAGCACCAGGGCACCGAGGGACTCAAAGTGGCTCCAGTACTGGAAGATGGTGACCTGCTCACCCTGGGTGCCACCAGGTCGCCGTGGCAGCCGCCGGTTCAGCACATCTTCCACCAGCTTCACACATACTGTGGGAAAATAATGAGGTCAGGGCGTGCAGCACCAAATAGGATTGGAGATTCACTTCCTGCACACCCACAGGCTCACCTGCATCTGCCAGTCCTGGGTGCCGCTCACTGATGGGTGCTGCATACTGCGCACTGAGCACCTGCAGGAACCGCTCCACAGGGCAGGTGTAGATGTTGGGCAGCTCCACGCAGTGGTCCCAGAGGGGCAGCACCCCTTCTTTCCGCGTTGAGAACTGCACCACTGCAGGGACAGGTGGTGTCAAGCTGCACATCCAGCTGGCACATCCCTCCTGTGCAGCCCCTTGCTGCCCTTACCTCCGGCAGCAGAGCCCGCTGCTTCCGACCGCTCCTCCATCAGTTGGCACACGATCTCCAGCACCTGTGCCTCCCGCAGCAGCCTGTCCAGGGCAAACATCTCCCGGCACCTCAGAGGCCCAAAGGTGCCCAGGTTCTGTAAGGCACAGGTATGCCAGTGACCTTAAGGACAGCACGGCGCCCAGATCTCAACAAAGCCACAGCAAGAGGGGCTTATTGGAGCCAGAAACCGCGAGGAGCCACGGCCAACCCCAGGACGTGTCCCACCATCACATCCCTGTCCCCAGTCTCACCAGCAGCAGGCGGTTGCAGTTGTGGAGGTGGAGCACCAGGGCCTTATCCAGGAACTCATTGCTGGTGCTCATGGGGTCTGCACTGCCCTCAGAGCCGCTGCACGTTCCAGTATCATCTGCTCCCACCTCACCAGCACTGGGAGCCCTGCTTGCACGCCGCGCTCTGCTGGCCCTCCTACAAAACAGTGAGAGACTGAGCTGAATCAGCACAGGGCACCTGAATCCAGCCCTCCCTTCCCCACTAGAGCTCAGCATCCCAAGCCCAGCTGCTCTGCGCCTCTTCTATGAGAGGCTGCTCCACACACCTCTCATCCTGCAGAGCCTCTTCCTCTGAGCCCTCCGAGTCCTCCATGTCAGAGGTGTTGAGGAAGCTGAAGCTCTCCAGAGCATGCTCCACTGTGAGGCTGATGCTGGAGGCCCGGCTGAGGAACACACCCTGCTTGTGCTGCAGAGGAAAGAATGGTCAGATCTTCACAAGCCACTCTAAGGGGCCTCACTACCCTCATCATCCCTGAGCAAGGTCATCAAGGATGGCCCCACCACTACAGTCACTGTCATGAGGGATGTCCCCAACACTGTTGTAACAACTGGACAGATCAATATGATTGGAAAAGGTGCTTCACCAGAGGTGTAGTAACAAAGGATCAGCACAATAGAAAGGTGCTATAAAGATAAAGGAAGAAGATTGCTTACCCATATCAGAAAATTCCAGGTTCACAGGAGAAAGCTTCACCAAGGAGGGATCTCCAACCAGAGATCCTTCCCCAGGGGCAGCCAGCCCTTAAATGAGGTCTAAGAGAGGTGCAGCCAGGCTCCACCCCTTCCAGTCACACAGCTGAATTGCCTTCACCTGTGCTCCCAGGGCTGACCGGGTCCTTTCCCCAGGTGCTCCATCAGTGGTTCAGGCTGTGACTCAACAGTTCCCATACAACTGTTGTCACTGAATGATGCCAACATGGATGGGCCCACCACCCTTGTACTCTGGGCAGTACCATCCAGATGGCCCCACCACCCTCGTCCCTGGTGACTGCCATCAGGGATGGTCCCACCAACTTTGTCCCTTGAGCAGTGCCATCAGGGATGGCCCCAGCACCCTCATCACTGCCATAAGGGATGGCCCCACCACTTTTGTCACTGGTCACTGCCATCAGGGATGCCCCAACCACCCTCATAGCTGAGCAGTGCCATCAGGGATGGCCCCACCACCCTTGTGCCCCAGGCAGTGCCATTGCTCTTGTCACTGTTCTCTGCTGTGGACTCCCTCCGGGCCCCCTCACCAGCAGGATCTCCTCCAGATGTTTGAGCTCCCGTTCCAGGGGCTGCAGCTCTGGGAACTGTCCCCGATAGTCATCCAGGGCTGAGGCCAGGAGGCTGATGGCCTCCTCCAGCCCTGAGTCCACGGCCTTCACCCTTGGGACCGCTGGGGGGCTGGTGGCCAAGTGTGGGGCTGGGACGGGTCCCTCCTCTGCGGGGGCCTGTGCCAACACCACGGCCGGCGTGGGGGCTTCACTTCCACAAACGTCCTGCGCTGGTGCTGGGCTTGCTGCTGGCTCAGCTTCCACCTCACAGGTTTCAGCCCATGCCACCATGGCACGTGGTTTGGCCTCAGGGCCGCTGTCTTTTCCTGCCCAGGTCTCTGGCACCGAATTCGAGGCACCAGGGAGGGAGTCATCGTCCAGCTTGTCTGCATCGTGTTCCTCCAGGCTGGGAGAGGGCTCCCATGGGCTCTCCATAGCCTTGGCCTCCATGCTCGCATCCACGCTGGCTTCACTGATGTGGCTGAGAGTCCGGGTGTAGGGCACATGCCCATTGGCCACAGCATCCTTCTTGCAGCCATCCTGCTCCTCTGGGGGCCCGGGCAGATCTGTCCCAATGGGGATGCCACCGCCAGCCCCAGTCTCCTCCTGCTGCTGTGAAAAGGAGATCTCGATGGCAGGGGCCGAGGCCTGCACCTCGGGCTGCACGATGGGCTTGTGGGCGGCGTGGCGAGTGCTGCTGGACAACTGGGGGCTGGAGGAGTCATCTGACGACTCAGAGGAGATGGACCAAGCTGTGCCGTTCTCCAGCTCCTCCTGACGCCGCAGCATGTTCTAGGAAGGGGACAATGACATGTCAGGAGGCACTGAGGTTGCTGTGACCTTTGAGGCAGGAATGGGCTCTGCTTGGTGTGCTGCTGCCCTTTCCAGCTGGGGGGACCTCGCCATGGTGCCAGTGGGTCTACCAGCATGGGGAGATGGGGTCCACAGCGGCAAGAGAGCAACAGCCCCACCACCAGCCTGCAGAGGGCAGCACCAGCGTCACATCAATGTCACACCGATGTCACACCAACACCACACTGACATTGCACCCCTGTCACCAACGCTGGGCACCACACCACCGCACCAACGTCATGCCAACGCCACACTGGTGTGACAAAACTGTCACCCCAGCATCACACCGTTGTCATCCCGATGTCACACCAGCGTCACCCCATCATGCTACCAATGCCACACCAGCGCCACGCCGATTTCAAGCTAGAGTCACGCCAGCACCCCGCCACATGAGCACCGTGTTGGCCGTCACACCAATGCCATAGCACGGCATGGCCACCAGTGCAAGGACAAGGCCGGGTCTTCTACTGGCTGGAGAGCAGGAGTCGAGCAGCTACACTACAGCAGGATGGCCACGCTGCTGGGCTACACTACGGGCCGGCTCCAGCCATCGCACTTACGCGGCCTGGCTGCGGCCATCTCCCAAGCTCGACCGAGGAGACGTCGCCGCAAGAGCAGCTCCGAGACAGCTTCTCGAAGAGTGTCTCCCGAAAGATGTCCAACAAGGACCAACCGTGCTTGTCGGCTGCCCGCAATGGGCTCTTGGGCAGAGAGAAGAGGAGCTGTGAGGGCAGGAGGGCCGGCGCCGGGAGCCTTGGCTGGCTGGCTGGAGCTGTGCCACCCATTGGGACTTCCCCTGGCACACTCAACTCAATAAAGCAAACCCCACCGTGGGCGCTTCAACCCAACCGTGGTTGCCCAGCTCCATGCTTACATAGAAAGCCTGCTCCCGCAGGGACGGCGTATCAGGTGGGCTCTGGTTGTAGGTGGAGAAGCGTTTGTTCACCGTGGAGGCCTTGTTGACGGTGCTGGCTGCCGAGGGCTGGTCATCCTTGTCGAAGGGGCTGCAAGGGAGAGAGGGGAGGTGAAAGCTCAGGATAGGCCAGTTATTGGTCCCCATTCCTGCTACACTCTACTGGCAAATCCTGCTGAGATACTCACTTCCAGGTCACCTCCAGGCTGAGTTTGAGGGTACCCAAGTCATTGATATCCACCGCCACCACCTGGGGGAGAGCTGCAAAGAGGTCCTTGGTCTCACAGGACACGTTGCCCACCACCACGTGGTTGGCCAGGCTCTTTAACTCCGTCACCTGGGGAAGGAGGAGGAGAGGATGAGACAAAGCCATCATCGGTCAGGCTGCTGCCAGGATGCCATCACCATGGAATAATATCCTCTTTCCCAGCAAAGGGTGGGTTTGAGTGAGGTCCAGTTTCCTCACTGCCTTGTGTGTGCCCAGCACAACCACTGCAGGTGTTGCCCTAACGCAGCTTCTGCCAGGAAAGAGCCCACTGACCCACAGCATCTCTGTCCCACTCGTGCTCTGACTGCAGGGCTCCCTACCTTGATGGAGAGGAACTCGGTGATGAGAGGCAAGAAAACCATCTCCTCGCTGTCCCACACCTGCTTGCTGTTCACCTCGATGCGTCCCCGCAGCTTCCACCGCTGCCGCCCGTACTTCATGAAGATCTGGGGGAAGAGCAGAGGCATGGAATGGGATGCCCAGAGAGGTGGTGGTCAGACAGCCAAGGTCAGGCTGCAAAGAGCTCTGAGCACTGATGGAGCTGTGGGTGTCCCCGCTCAGTGCAGGGAGTGGGACCAGATGGCCTTTAAGGGTCCCTTCCAACTCAAACCGTTCTATGATTCTATCATTCATAGGGCTGGGAGTTTTCTCTGCAACCCCAGGCCACCCACCACAGGTCCCCAACATACATTCCTGCTCGACACCAGCACCCAAAGACAAGGCCCACCCGTGTCCCCCATGCTCAGCATGGACCGCAGAAGGGAGGAGGACAGATCCCCATCCATACACCCAAGGCTCCACCAACCTCATACTGGTCACCAGCGCAGAGCCGGGCGAAACCTGCCAGCCCTGCAAGAGAAGGCAGAGAGATGAAGGACACAGCAGGCTAGTGCTGTTCCAGGGCTGGGATGGGATGTGTTACCTTTCATCCGGACATGGAACTCTCCCAGCTGGCTCTCCAGCTCATTCTCCAGCAGGCACATGTTCTGGGGGCAAGGAACAGAACACCCATCACACACCACCCATAGGGTCAGCACCTCCCAGCCCACCTAGCACCAGGTGCCTCACCTCCGTGTACTCCTTGTAGCCCTTGCTGGCCTCAGCCAGGCTCTCACGTGCCTCTCGGCTGCCCGGTGAGCCCGTGCTGTAGGCTTTGACCATGTTGTGGGCCCCATCGCGGAGCCGCCGCTGGATGCAGTAGGCTTCATACAGCTCGTCGATCTGCAAGGACAGGCCAGGGATGCAGTGAGGGGCAGGGGGACAAGTGGCAACAGGGATAGTGGCTTCCTGAGGTGGTCTCCCAGTGCTCAGGGCACTGCAGGCTTGGCATCACCAGAGCCTGGGAGCCAGGTGGGGGAAGAGCACCGTGGTCCCAGTGCTGAATAGAGGCCAGAAACCCACAGAAGTACCCGATCCCCAGCTCCTACCTTGCTAGCATGAAACTCCAGGCGACGCAGGAAGCGCTCGATTGACTTCACTTGCTGGAAAAGCAGAGATGGTGTGAGAGGCTCCCTGAGAGGGGCTGCGGGCCAGGATATGGCCCTGCCTCACACTCCTGCTGTGCGATAAGATGTGTCCCAAGAAGCAGGCTACCAGCCACCACCAGTCTCTGCTTTGTCCTCTGCTACCCTGAGTGCAGAGTCCCAACCCTGGCTGCACAGGGGAAGGTGGGTGTGGAGGGGATGTGGGGAGGCAAGGGGATGGGGCATGCTGCTCCTGCTTACCTTATCCAGATCGTAGAGAAAGCCCTGGAGGAGAGAGGAGAGGGATAAGATGCAGCACAAAGCCAGCTCTGCTCACCCAGGGAGCACCCAACACCCATAGCATGGCAGGAGGACAGGATCCCATGCAGCCCTACACCATGGACTGTCCCCCGATGTCTCCATAGGACACAGCTGGACCGTGAGCTGCCCCAACCATGACCAGAACCCCGAGCATCTGCACAAAGCACTTCTCCCTACAGACTCTTCCCAGCACCACTCACCAGGCGCGAATTCCTCTTGGACTCACGGATCTGGGTGCTGAGCTTCTCCAGTTCCAACTGGTGGACCTCCAGGTAGGCCCTGCAGACAGCAGCACCGCAGGCTCAGATGGGGACCTCAGCCCACACCACCCAACCCCACGGACACCCTTGGGGGCACCCCGATCCCAACCCCCTAGCAGCCCCAGCACTTACGTCAGACCTTTCTTGAGCGCTTCGTACACCTCATCTAGGCGATTGGGCTGAGGCACCTTGGGTGGTGGGGATTTGTGGGACATTGAGAACATCCTACTGACCCTGGAGCCAGTCTTGCGGGAGACGGTGGGCGTGAAGGGCGAGAGGTTCCTGCTGAGAGAAGCAAGTGAAGCCGACATGGCCATGGTGAGCCCACAACACTGGGGTCCTCCCGGGTGCCCATCTCACGATAAGGAGCTCCAGAAAGGAGGCCAAGTCCCAAGAGCTCCGTCCCGACCTGCCTGCCTCTCCCACAGCTCCCCGGCACCCAGTCAAACCGGCCAGCAGGGCCGGGCGGGATGAGGCCATGTGCGATTGCAGGGCTGGGAAATGCTGCCTGCCCCATGTGCCTGTGTCTCTGGGTGCGTGTGGCTGCCCCAAAGTGGACATGGAAGAAAGGCTGTTCCAGAGAAGTTGTGAGTTGGAGATGCCTGAGGCCATGGATGGGGCACCCATCCCACAGCAGGGGGTTGGAACTGAATGGGCTTTGAGGTCCCCTCCAACCTCAGGCATTCTAGGATTTATGATTCCATGACAAGGCAAACCCACTAAGCTCATGGTGGAGAAGAGCAGGGAGTCAACCCCATCTCAGAGGGCCCCGAGATGCTGGGTGTGGGCATGCCTCCATGGGATCCTCAGCTCCTCTTAGGAGGAGCAAAGGCAAACTTGCACCTCCCAGGGCCAAGCTGCTCTCCTGGAGTGACCATGGGAGCATCTCCAGCCCCAAACATTCTCTAGAGAGTAACCACGCTCTGCTCCACCCTCAGTGCTTTGGGTGCCCATCGTGCATCCCCGAGGACAGAGAGACACCTCTCAGGTGTCAGCACAGGAGCAGAGTGGGGACATGTGCCTGTCAGCCCCCCATCAGCACAGCAACACGGAGCACAGATATCACAGAGACACCTCCATGACGCAGAAGCGCCGCGCATCCTAACACTACCCCTCCTGCCTTGTGCAATGTGAGCACAGCCCGGCCCCACCAGCAATGCCCCAGGCAGAACAGCCCTTCCCTTCTGCCCTCTAACGTAGCCACGTCACTAGTCCTGGCCTGGACCTCCCATCCTACGTGACTCCTCGGAGAGCAGCCAGAAGACTTCCCCGAAGCATCGGTACGGGAAAGTGAATATCTTGGCCTCAACCCAAGCCAACATGATGGGCGAGTGCTTCTTTTGCACATCCATCCCTTCCCCCTCCTCATCTGCCAAGGCTCTGGGCACCACAAGGAAGAGCTGAGTGTGGCTGGGGAGCTGCTCCCAGGCATGGGGAAGTGCCACAGAGGTGCCTGCTTGGAGGTGCTGCTGGAGCACGGCTCACTCGTGCCACCACTTCCCAACTACTCCTTGCTACGACTGGGAGGTAAGGAGAACCAAAAAGGGCTCCAAAGCATTAAAATGGCACAGTCCAAACCTACAGCACATCTGTGCATCAAGAACCGCCCAAGGAGCTGGGAAAGGAGCAGAGGAAGGCACAGGGTGGTTCTCCTTGATGTAAGTTTGGCACAGAAGGAGGGAGGATGTGATGGGTGCCACCAAGTCGCCAGCAGTGGAGAGGATGAGCAAGGACTGGCTGCTTGCTGATCCTCAAGGCAGAGCTCATGGGCAGCCAAGAAAACCTTCCAGCACCACGTTTAGGACGGCCCAAAGGAAGCCCTGACTCACACCAGCACTGACGGAGAAACTTGCAGCCACGGGGCGTCGAGGGGCCGAGACACAAAACTTCAAGACCACATTTGTTCCTCTACCACAGCCATTAAACGTGCTGGGGTGGTCACAGGGCAGCCCTAAGGACCACCCTGCCGTGCCTGCCCTGGGACAGGGGCAACCAAGTGTTGGGGTGACACGGGATGGGCTCAGCAGCCCCACTGCCACATCTCTGGGTACCACCAATGTTCCCATGGGGAGAAGAGACAGCACCTTGTGTAATACCACCGTGCCCAGCCCCCATCTCCTACCTGAAGGGCCGCTCTGCTGTCGAGTTCACCCCGGCAAACGACTGGCTCCTATTGATCTTGGCGACGAGGACTCGGCGCTGCGGCCGCACAGACAGCGACATCGTTGAGTGTGACCTGGAGGGCCTCCCTGCGGGGACACAAAGACAGCGGGGTCACCACAAGCAAAGCACCTGGGTACATCACCACATGGCCCATGGGAAGAGGCTGAAGCCCGATGCCCACCGCGGTTCCTCCAGGACGTGGCCATGGCAAAGCCCCCGGAGCCCTGCTTGTCCCCACACGTGTCCCGCTGTCCCCCTGCCACCCGCAGCAAGCACAGAATGGTGTGGGGCAGGACCCTGCTGCCCAGCCCTGCGAGCAGGACGGAAGCCCGCAGACAACAAAGCACTTTGGAAAGTCCCCAGCCTTTGCCAGGAGCTCTGTTGTCAGGAAGGGAAAGGCAGAGCTATTCCTGGTCCTCCGAGAAGTCCCCGTAGCCACTGCAGGAGCCCTGAAAATGCTGCCTGTCCTCATGGCAACAGCATCCACATGTCCCGTGCAAGGTACAACCAATCCCTGAGTGCCAAAGCCCTGACCCAGCTGCCAGCTGGAGAGCATCGCCACATCTCCAGCCACTGCTGGATGCAGAAACAGAGGCTCTGTGGCTCTCCTGGTGTAACCAGCCCCGGGGTGGGGTCCCCAAGGTGTGACAGAGTTCTGAGCCCATCCCAACCGTCCCCATGCAGCACGCACCTGCTCAGCCAACACAAAGCCATGCCCCAGCCTCCTCAGCACCGCGCTATGCCCCGTGTCCTCAGCGCCCAGGGACACAGCACCAAGGCCACCAGGAGCCAGCAGCTGCCACTGCTGATGGCTCTGTGCAAACGGGGCCAGGATGCAGCAGGTCCACGTCTCACATTCTGTGCCAAGCAGCTCTGTGGGACTCGGTGTTGCCTCGGTCCCTTCAGTCACCAGGACAACGCTGCCCCAATTAAGCTCATTAGGAGGAGCTATAATCCCTGCAGGGCCTGGGCAGATTACCCTCTGCAGGGCAGTTTAATCTGCTCCCCACTGAGCGAGCAGGGCCTGTGGCACGGGTGGGCTGTTCTATGGAGAAAGCACCCAGCAGCCTCACAGCAGTGCTTGGCACACATGGAGCCCATCCTTTCCAATCCCAAGGGCATGGGGGGTATTCCAGGAGGGGCCTTCAGCAGCAGCGAGCACACGGGTGAAAGATGCTGAGGTTGTCACCGGGGAGCAGTGGCAGGATGGAGCGATGCTCAGTGTATCCCCAAATCCCTCAGGGTGTCCCTCACACTGGGATATGCATCTGACCTCGAGCATCAGGACCATGACGAGCACTGCCAGGAGTGATGACATGGCATGGCCAGCTCCGTATCCTCGTGCTCCATCCTGGTGACTGTGGTTTCACCCCAACCCAAAGCACCGTGACACTGCAGTTATCAGCTCCAGCCTCGTGTTGCCATGTCCCCAGCCCCAGGGCCAGGAGCTCACTGGGGAGGGGAATGCCCCATGAACCCCATCCTGCTTATGGTCTGCAGGACTGCTCGGGATGCTCGAGCCTGGCACGCATGGGCACTGAGTGCCAGCAGGGTCTGTTCCTGGCATGCTCTGCTGGCGGAAGAGAAGCCCCAGCATGGTGCATTCCTGACATTACCGAGATAAGGAGTACCTGGTACGCCACAGCACCGAGCCTGGGGCACGCTTGGAAGGGATAGTGGCCACAGCTCCTCACCCGTGGGGCTCTGGAGCCCCTCACCATGGGGCAGCCAGCACTGGGTGGGTCACCCACATGTCTGTGTCCCTGCCACCCGCCGAGCCCACGGCACATCCCTCCTGTTCCTTGTGGGTGGCAGTCCCACAGGTCCCCACGCAGCCTCCTGTCCCTGCCCAAAGCTCCAGTCCCACAGCCCCACACAGCCACAGCCCCTGCCCCTAATTACAGTGCTAACGAAGCCGCCTTCTGACAAAGCTATGCGCCTCACCGCCGTGGAGCACCCGCAGCTCTCCCAGTCCTACAGCCTGTCCGTCTGTCTGTCCATCCCCATCACTCCGTCCAGCTGCTGCAGGCAATGCAGTGGGGACACCACGGCCCTCCCCTGGGCTCTCCGACCCAGCTGCTGCTCGTGTCCCTGTGCCCGGAGCTCCGCAGATGATTCCAATCCCAGGAATGCTGCTAGCAGCTTCCTTCGGCGCATGGAGGGGGCAGTCCGACCGGCTGGGTTGGTCCCGGCTGGTTTCTGTTCCTGACACTCAGACAGCAGCCTCAGGTCGCTCTTTCGGGTTTATCAACACGGCGGGAGGCTGAGACGCCCCAGGAACCCAAACCCAAACCGGCTCCTTGTGAGCCCCGAGCCCGGCTGCTGCACCCGGATGCATCGCACCCAACGTCAACCAAGCGACGCCCTCTAGCTATCCCCTGGCACAATGGGGTGCACCCAGCTCCCCCCACTACCACGAGGCACCGTTGGGAGAACTTGCCCTTGTTAGGAGGGTAAACCTTGAGGGAGAACCTTTGGAGCCTGCAAACGCAGGCGCTTGGCACCATTCCCTCCGCCCGAGCCGCTGCGTCCTTGTTTGCACAGCTGCGTCCCCGCTGCACGCCCCGGCCCCCCGCCAGCCCCTTTCCGGCCCAGGACAGCACTTGGCCGTGTTCAATCCTCCTTCCTGCCCCGGTTCAGAGATGGGGGCATCCGGGGATCAATGGAGGGCCTGGGAGCCGCCTCTCCCCTGACCTCCTCCGCATTACGGCCCCTTCCCCGCCACCCCCCACCCACCGCGCGCAGGGGATTGGGGTTCAGAGTGAGATGAGTCAGGAACTGTGAAATTGGCAGCTCTCTAGCTGGGGAGAAGCCAAAGCCATTCGTGCTTGGGGTCACGGAGCTGTGGACCCCATGCTGAGTGCTGGGACCTCACGCTGGGCGATGGCACCCGTGGTGCTGGTTCCTGCCCTCCCAGCTATGGAACCGGCTCCTTGCACCAAAGTGGGAGGGCGGCAGGAAAGGGAAGGAGCTGCTAATGGGAAGAATTGGAGGAAGTGCTTATTTACCCCTCGGAGCGTCCCCGAGGAAGGGCAGGGCTGGGCTGGACACATAGGGGGACGGGGACGAAGCGCCTTGCAGCACGTCCTGGGGCACCCAGTGGATCCCGGAGGGGGGGATGCCAGCCCCGAGGTAGCACCCAGGAAGGAGGCTGCCTTAAAGGGTGGTTTGAGCACGACCTGTTTTCTAGGGCATCTCCTGGGATGTGGCCGTGGAGGTGCCGCACCCAGCGGGATGGGTCCCCTGGAGGAGGACAGGGCCCCACAGTGGGGGCACCCACTGGGATCCCCGTCCATTTGGGTGGGTCCTCTCTGTATCCCTTAGGTAGGGATGTGGCACCCTCTTCCCCAATGCCTCTGGGTCCTGGTGGGGGTGGCAGAACCTCACAAAGGTCCCAAATGCCATCTTCTCCCCCAGGATGCTCATTCTCAGGCAGCTCAGCCCCAAACCCTGCAGACAGGAAGAGCCCCAGGACTCCCCTGTTCTGTGCTGGGTGGGCAGCTGGCCAACACTAGACCCCCAAATACCCAGCACAACCCCACACCTCTGCCACAGTGCCACAGTAACAGCCAGACCCCCTCCCCAGTGCCCCTGGCTCACCTCCCCTAGGGCAAAGAGAGTGAAATCCCTCACCCCAAAGACACCCCCCAAAAGACCAACCACAGAGCCCCGCAATCCTCAGGGCTCCCTTATCCCCCTCCTCACCACCCGGGGTTCCCCAGATTAAGAATATCTGCCAAGCAATGGGAGGCACACGTGCCTCCAGCACCACATTACTGAGCTCACCAAGGGGATTCTGCTACGGGGAACAGAGCACCCCACAACCCAAGCCCCAAACCACGTCCCCCTCGCCCTGCACTGGCCGTGTTTTGGTGTCGGGGAGCCTTCCTACAGTGACTGTGTGGCTTTGGGATCCCTGCCGGGCTCGGTACCTCTCTGCTTGTCGTTCATGGCGGGGTGCAGCGGGGAGCGGAGGAGCCCAGCAGGCTCTCATGCTGCAGGACTGCCGGGACTGAGGGTTTGGTGCTGGCTGTCCCCTCCCACGCTTCCCCTGCCCATGGGCTGACGGCACTGCCCCACTGCGTGCCTCAAGGGCCGGGGAAGGGAGGACGTCCGTCCGTCCGTCCATCCATCTATCCGTCCCCTGTGCAGGGAAGGGGCCCCTTTGATAAGCATGACACAACTGACCAGAACTCACGTCGCTGCTGCTCTCTTCTGGGCGGCTTTATTTTAATTTAGTTGAGTTTTGAACTCCCACTAGCAGAGGATTTGCCAGCCCTGAGTTTGCTAGCCTGCGCTGTGAGGAAGCCGCCTTCAGCTGAGGCTCTGTGTAGGGTGCTGGATGGCTGCTTGGGTGCCATTTCCACGTGGGAACCCAAGGGCACGGCACTGGCATCTGGAACAGCACCATGTTCCTCAGGCCCCATAGGAATTTGGCATTAAAACCAGCGGGGCGTGAGGGTAGCCCACGTGTTTCCACATCCTGAGGGGCTGGATGAGGTACAATGACAGGGAAAAACCCTTTGCAGAGCAATGAGGGCAGCGTGAACCCACGTCCCAGTCCCTGCAGAGCCATGGGACCCCGTGGCCCATCTGCAGCACAGATGTGAACTTCGGGTCCTGCCCTTTGTCTGACCATAGCCATGGCTCCCAAGGAGGAGGCTGGAGCAGCACAGCCCCATCCCAGCTGGGAAGGGCTGCCGTCAGTGCTGCAGGAAAAGACGCCTCCCTCCCGGCTCCCTTCCTGTTTGCTGCTGCTTTTAGAGGGAGGTCAGGCAAGGTTCAGGAAGAAAAGCACCGAGGCAGAGCCTTGGAGGGCCGTTACAACCCCAAGATGTCACTGGTGCACCCTGCCACCCCACTGTGCCGCAAGGAGGTGGCACTGGGCAGCATTCCCCCATCACCAACCCGGGGACAACATCCTGCTGCTCACTGCACCACGGCAGGGAGCTGGCAGCAGGAGTGCCGTGTCACCCCCCACCCCGATGACACCAGCAGGGAGCAGAGCCAGCTGCCCAGCACGGTGACATCGCCTTTTTCCTTCATCCCAACGGAACTGCTGAGCTCCCAGTGCTGGCACTGCCATGCTGACATCCCGCTGGCTGCCTCCCCAAGCTGCTGCCCGGCACACGCCCAGGCAGCGCGCCTGCAGCCACGGCCCATGCCAGCTCATTTGTCCTCATTAAAGCTTAACGAGGACTGCCTGGTGGTGGGCAGCGAGGGCACTGCGCAATGAGAGGCTGCCAAAAGCCTCTGGGGGATGTGGGTATGGCATGCCATCCAGGTGATGTCCCATCCCGTCTATGTGATGTCCCATCCCATCTGCGTGGTGTCCCATCCCATCTATGTGGTGTCCCATCCCGTCTATGTGGTGTCCCATCCCATCCAGGTGGTGTCCCATCCCATCCAGGTGGTGTCCCATCCCATCCAGGTGATGTCCCATCCCATCTACGTGGTGTCCCATCCCGTCTAAGTGATGTCCCATCCCATCTATGTGGTGTCCCATCCCATCTACGTGGTGTCCCATCCCATCTATGTGGTGTCCCATCCCATCTACATGCTGTCCCCATCATCTGCTTCCCTGCTGGGTCTGAGCCTCCCGCAGCCCAACCGGTGCATCCCAGTGTGGCTGGACTGGCAGAAGCTGGAGGCAGGACAAACGTCCTGGAGATCCCAGGTCCCAGAGGCACTGAGCACCGGAGATGTCCCTGCACTGCTGTCCCCAGCAGTGATGCGCCACAGAGGCCACCCGCGATGCCACCATCCCCGTGCCCCCTCCAGTGACAGCGGCACCAATGAGACAAAGGTGATGGAGGAGCTATGTCACCCCTCCTCCTCACGCAGCCCCAGACAAGGGACCGGGGCAGGAGCCCACGGCACCCAAATAAGCGTGCATAGGGTCGGAGGTGACAGTGAGGGTGACAAAGTCGTCCCCGTTGGGTTGGGCTGGAGCCGTCTCGTCACTTCCTTGCGCCATCCCCAAGCAGGGCAGAAATAGCACAGATATAAGCGGCGGCCCTATAAATAGCCCTAAGCGCAGGGCCTGGGGCCGGCCGGTGGGAGCGGCCCTACAGCCCCGCAAAGCAGAGGCCCCACAGCCCCACCACAGCAGTGACGCAGGGCCCCAAACGGCGGCCCCAAACCCAAAGCCACCGGGGTCACAGCCTCCGCCCTACGTGAGGGTCTCTGGGGGGCACCCCAAAAGGAGCCCAGAGCCACACGTCACCCCCCGGCCCCACGGGGGGACACGGCAGAGCCCCGCTCCGGTCACCACGGCCAGGATGAGGGGTGAAGCCGCCCGCTCCTCTTAGAGGTGCCATAAATGGATCCCAGATCTGGGCGCAGCAAAGCCCCGCGGCGCAGCGGGGAAGGGGTTAACGGCACTCTGCTTCCCGAAGGATTTCTTGGCAGGGCCGGGAGATAGGAGGATGGGGCCGGCAACAAAGCCAGATCTGTCTCATTAATTCCTCCGAGCATTCCTCCCTCCGCAGCGAGGAGGAGGAGGAGGACGAGGCGGCAGCCCTCAGACATGGCCGTCACCCCCCGTCCCCACGGGGCAGGACGGGATCTCAGCCCCTCTGCCCGAGCTCCGGCGTCCCCGCGTCCCCGAGGTGGCAGCGGGGTCCCCGCCCGCCCTCGCCCCGCTCTCCCGTCCGGATAAGAGGATGGAGAGCCCCAGCGTCACCCCCCACCGCGCCCCAAAGGCTGACCCCGCAGAGCCCCCCGCCGCGGTGACAGCGCCCGGGACGGCGACACTCACATGTCCCGCGAGAGCCGTGCGATGGGAGCGGGCCTGGCTGGGCGCATCGCCTTTGTTCCTCTCCCATGGACGGGGAGCGGGCAGGGACGGCTCAGAGCCGCTTGGCAGCGCCCACCCCGGCCGCTCTCCATGGAAACGCGAGAGCCATGTGATTTCGGCAGGAAACCACGGCGAGGCCGGCGCCAATGGCGGAGCCGGCGAGCGCCTCCCCTCCGGCCGTCCCTCGGGAGCCGCCGCCGCCGTCACCTCCGCCGCCACCGACGGACGCCGCCATCGCCGCCGCCCCGAGGGCCCCCACCGGGCTGCCCCCGGCAGGACGCAGCGTCGGATGGGGCCCCACCGCGGCCGGGTCACCGCCGCCCGGCCCCGACCCCGTGCCGGGCGAGAGAACGGAGGCGAAGGGACCTGGCTGAGGTCGGTCGGTCGGTGATGGAGACCCGAAGACCCCGGCACTGTGGCAGTCCCAGTGGGTGGCACCGCGTGCCCTATATGCTGTCCCCTATTGTGGAGCTCTGAGGGATTGCCCATGCCCAGGAATAGCAAGTGGGAGACCCTAACCCCAACCAACCCGAACCATAGCCCCAGTCCCAACCCTAACACTAACCCTAACCATCCCTAAGTAATCGTAGCCCTAACCCCAGCCCTAACCCTAACTTTCTCTCCCAAAGCCCATCGCTCTCCTCCCTGTCCTAGATCACGCTGAACTGACCCAGTTTTAAGTGGGACTGATGGCTTTCTGCCCCCAGAGAGACACCCGTGCTGCAAGGACAAGATGGCACAGAGCTTCAGCAGTGCAAAAAAAAAAAGCCCTAATTAGCTGATTGCCACACCTGGCAGCTAAGCAGAGCAGGGCGATGTCAGTGACAAGGAAACCGCTGCTCCAAGGACACCCGCAAGGAGCCAGGTGTCCCAGTGCTGCTACTGGCCCTGGAAGGAGTGGTGGAGTGAACGTGGCGGAGAGGACAGCGGGTCCCTTGGGTAGCAGGGAGAAGGCAAACCGATGGGCAGATGCGGAGAGAACTGGACAGAAGCATGGGAATCAATTAGCCCAGGGAAAGCTGTGGCCTCCATCCTACTTGGATGGCCACCATGCCAGATGCTGCCATGAAATCACAGGCGTGACAGCGTCCATAATGGGTCATGTAGGGGCTGCGTCCCACCCACACCTCGTGCGTCACCACCCTGCCCACCTCTGAAAGCTCTCAAATGGCAGCCAGGTGCTCAGTGGAGCGAGGCTAGCCTGGAAAAGGCAGGAACTGTCCCCTGTTGACCTGCTCAGTGTGTTATCATGGATGCTCAGTAGGTTGTATGAATGGTCAGTGGGTGTGTGGATGGCCAGTGGGATGGATGGATGGTCAGTGGGGTGTACTGATGGCCAGTGGGATGGATGGATGGTCAGTGGGGTGTACTGATGGTCAGTGGGATGGATGGATGGTCAGTGGGGTGTACTGATGGCCAGTGGGATGGATGGATGGTGAGTAGGGTGTATGGATGCTCTGTGTGGGTGCAACCAGCTGACTCCATGTCCCTAGGTTGTGGAGCAGCAACTGGCCCGAGGCTGGCCAACAAACAGCACAGCTCACCCCAGTGCAGGAGATTCCCAAGTCCAACCCCACCATGCCCACTGTCACATCCTTTGGTGCCACGTCTCCATGGTTCTTGGACAACTCCAGGGATGGTGACTCCCTCACTTCCCTGGGCAGCTGTACCACTGCCTCACTGCTCTTCTAGGGAAGAAATTGTTTCCAGTACCCAACCTGAGCCTCCTCTGGGGCAACTCAAAGCCATCACTCTCGCCCTATCACTGTTACTGGGAGCAGAGGCCAACCTCCCCTCCCTACAGCCTCCTGTCAGGGGTTGCAGAGCCACGAGCTCTCCACTGAGCTCCTCTTCTCCAAACTGACCCATCCCATCCCATTCCCTCAGCTGCTCCTACAGCACTGTGCTCAGACCCCTCACAGCTCCATTTTCCCTTCTCTGGACACTCTGGATGTCAGGTCTTGAGCCACGTCCTCTCCCCTCTCAGCAGAGGGCATGAAGCCAGGGCTTGGCTCCATGCCTCCCTCCATGTACACCCTGCAGCACTGCATGCTCGGCATTCCTGCACTGTGCTGGAGCAGTGCAGGACGGAGCCTCTGGCCCCCAAAACCTCACAGCCACGTTTTCACCCTCTGTGCTCCACAGCACCGCTGCAGCTTTCCTGGGTCCCCCAGTCGCAAAGCAGAGGAGAAGGACCTGGGAAGGAGTTAACAGAGGATGGAGGTTGACTCACAGCTCTGAGCACTGCTGGAAACCTGGCCAGCTCAGCCAGACTGCAAGCTGGCACCCAGGGCATTGCTCTGCAGCACAGCTGCCCTCCCCTCTCCCAGTCCTCCCCTCTGCCCCATGAGAATGGCAAGAAGCATCCCCAACCCTTGCCTGGATTAAGGGTACGGATGCAATGCTGGAAATGCACCGGGTCTGTATTGTCAACCCTGCGCCGTAGGAAACATCTCACGCCCCAGAGTGATCACTGCAAAAGTATTTGTGATTCACAGGATTCCTGCAGCCCCTGCGGGCCTGTCCCACGCGGCAGGAAGGCTGAGGTCATGGCCGAGCTGCACGTGGCTCAGCGCAGAGTTGGCACTGATGGGTTCAACTCATGGCATCGAGCAGACCTCGGGCACGGCCGAGGTGGCCCCCAGGGATGGGTCAAAACTCCCCCCTTCAGCAAATAATCGCTGCCCTCCAGATGGAATGACAACAAAAGCACTGGGACATGGGTCAAGGAAATGAGAAGGGGTGAGCAGGGCAATAGGAAGCGGCTGTAACCATCTCCTGTCCCTGCTGGACTGGCGCTCCACCCACAGCAAGGCACATAAAAATGCTGTTTTGCATGGTTTTGATGTGGATGAGCCCATGCCATGGAGCAAGGAGGTTCCTTAGGGACCCCAGCATGCAGTGGGGACAGACATTGGGTGGGGTGATGGTGGGGAGGACACCGGCTCCTTCTGCTGGGGTCAGGGCAGAGCTGGCCACCTCACCTCGGCACACCAAGGTGGAATGGCTCCTGCGTGTGCGAGACGTCCCCAACCTTGGTGGCTTTGCTTCCCCAGTGCCGTGAGCAGGGGGACAGCATGTCAATGGAGTTGCACGGGGTCCCTGCCCGGCACCCAGCCTGGGGACACAGAAGGTGCAGGAGCTCTCCAGGAAGCCCCCCCAGCTCCGCTTCCTTCCCCTCCACCCACACTCACGTCACCACTGAGTGCTGAGAGCGGCGCTGTGGGCACTGCTCAGTCCTGCCAGGTCCCAGCAAAGGACACCTCTGGGTTTGGCAGCGGTGCAGACAGAGGTTGGAGCTTGTAGGCATGTTCTGCCCTCCCACTGCCCCCAGCTTTTCTCTAGTATCTGCTTCCCTATGTATCCCCCTCCTGTTTGGAGGAAGCCTTCGTCCCCTCTCACTCTCCACCTCCCCAAGCAGGAGGAGAAGCCTCCAAGCACCTTCTTGGGTCCCCCCCATCTGAGCCCTCCTCACTGTGCCTGGGGCTGGGACACAACACCAGCCAGCACGTCGGAGCCGTTGGGAACAAGCGATGTTCCTGCATGGCATGCGGCCCCGACAGCGCTGGCTCTGCTTTAAAGAGCAACTTTATCCTGTAATAACAAACAGGAGGAGCCAAGCTCCTCCCCAGCACCGCTTCCTTGGCTCCAAGGAGGGGGACAGTGAAGAGAAAGCCAATCTGAGCTGCCAAAGTGTGCTGCTGGTGGGGCCAAGGATGCGGCAGGGGATGCTCAGCGGGGATGACCCCTCCAGCATGGCCCCTCCTGCTGCAGGGCTGAGCACAGCATGCCCCAGTTCTGGGTGACTGGATCTCCTCCACCATCTCCATGGCCCCCAGTGCATGGATGAGACACCTCCAGTTGGAAGATCTAACCTGCCACGTGCCCAAGCCCAAGCGTGTTCCCCCATAAAGCCAATGGGACCTGCCCAAGTTTCTCCTGCAGGCAGCAAAGGGTCCCACCCTGCCCAGCACCCCGGGGAGACTGCTTCCCAGGGAAACAGGGGAGTCCCCATCCCTGGAGGTGTCTGAGGACCATGGAGATGTGGCACTGAGGGATGTGGTCAGTAGGCATGGTGGGGTGGGTTGAGAGGAAGCACCGGGCAGCAGCAGTCCAGCTTACAGTGAGCAGAGACAGCAAGGAGGGAACCATGGATACCTCCAAAGCACAACAACACCAGCATCCTCTGTTACTATGGAGAAGTGCCAGGAAGGGGCCCTTGGAGCACAACATGGCTGGGGAAGATGCTGGTCCCCGGGAGGGCAAAGGCAGCACTGAGCTCCCAGCACACAGCAGCCATGGAGCGACCTGTTCAGGCTACCAGGGCAGGGAGCAGCAGGCAGGCAGCATTGGGGCTTGGGGAGCTAACAATAAGACAAAGGAGGGGATGCTGGTGGGGCTGGGGGGCCAGATAGCAACCAGTATCCCCAGCCCCACAGCTGCGGTGCGCAGGAGGAAGCCTTGGTGCGTTATCTGTTGGCCCCAGCGCTGCCTGGGCCAGGCTGTGCTTCCTGCCCAGCTGTGTTTCTCCCACAGCCAGCACCCTCCTCTGCTGCAGATCCCCTGTTGACAGAGCTGGAAGCAGTCACTGGGACCGCAGTGTCATGGATGTCCCCACAGCGACCACCCTGCTGCCCCAGCTCTCTGTCCCATGGCTAATGTGGGAGATGAGGGAGATGCAGACTCACTCAGGTCCCAGCTGAGGTCCCCGCACTTCTTGCTTATTCTGCTCCAGCGATGCTCTGGAGCTCCAACACCGGCCGTGCTGGCTGTCCGTGTCCTTGCCAGCTGGTTTCTGACCTGCCTCCTGCTGCTGCTCCACCTCCCAGCACTGAGGCCAGCAGGTGACACAGTGGAGCAGCCCCACACCATCCCCACTTCCCTCTTTTGCTCCTCTCCTACTGGAGCAGCATCACCATCCGTGGGCTCTTGGCCCACCTGGTGCAGAGGTGCCCCTGGGTCCCCTTCCCACCAGGACTCCCTGTGTCCTTCTCACCGTGTCCTGACACCCGGAGGTGTCCCACCACAGCTCCTGGTGCAACATGCCTTTGTCCAGGTGGGAGACCCTGAGAAGTGACCACCTTGGAGGGCAAATTCCCTAATTTCTCTGGGGCCGGATCATCTTGCAGATGTGCATCTTGCAAGATGGGCAATACTCAGCCCAGTCAAGTTTGCACCTGTCCTGTGACTAAGGATGGAACCGGGAGATCCCACTTCAGCTGCTGAATGCAGTTGGATCCTAAATCCTCCATGCTCTGTTCCAGCTTGCTGCACTCCCACAGAGCCAGGTGGGGTTGGCATCCCCTGCTGAGCCCTGGGGAAAGTGCTCTCCCTGGTGCCTACCCATCTCCCACAGCCTCTATGGCAGGGTCCTAACGGACAGCAGCAGCAGGAAAGGCCAGGCATGGAAGGAGAAGAATGCTGGAAGAATGAAGAAAGCAAAGAGAGCCAGCAATCTGTTCCCTGGTGAGCAGAGAGGCAATGGGTGCGACCTGGAGAGCAGGGGGAGCGCAGGGCTCTGACACTGCCCAGAGCTGGGAGATAAGGCTGACACAAAGGGCAAAGCCAGCGAAAGGGAATGAGCAAGGCAGGAAACATCGGGCTGGAGAGGAAGCGTGGAGATAATCAGCTGCATGAGCACAAACACCCGGAACTTGTGCAAAGGAAGAGCCGACACCGCTTGGCAAAAGCATTGGAGCGGGGAGACCTCAGCCCTCACCCAGCCTTCCTGAGAATACAGTACAGATGGACCCCATCACCCAGGGACACTCCCAGCACCCCTCAGCATTGAAGGGGCAGCTTGCTTCTCTTCTCAGCCCGCCTGGGAATCCCAGGAAGGATGGATAAGCACACAAGCCCTGGCAGCTCTCCCACCCGCAGCCATGGGAAGCTGGCCCAGGCTGGGACACAGCTGCAGGTGTTCCCCGCTGTCCCTTTTCCCATCCTCTCCAAAGTCTGGGCTGCTAAAAGTCACTGATTGGGAGCACCCAGAGCTGAAAATACTCACTGCTGTGACTCGGTGGGCTGCTGGGCAGGGCAGGCTGGGGCCAGGGTTTGCTAGAGATCTCTAAAGCACAGCAGGGCCAAGCCATGGTCTCAGCAAGGCCATCTGTCCCAGTGCTCAGCCAGATTGCAGAAGGGAGCCTGGGCAAGGGAGATTGGTTGGGAAATGGGGGGCTCAGGGGAAAGCTCTGGGATTTCATCTCCTACAAGACAGGTTGCTCTGCTCTCCTGGCTTTGAAGGAGCCTCTGGCTGCTTTTCCCCATAGTCCCCCAAGGGGAAGATCAGTTCAGAAGGGGAAGGTATGGGTGGAAAACTTTTTAAAACTGGGAAAGCCCACCTCTGGGGCTGCTACCACCTGCTGAACAAAATCACGCAGTCCAGAGCTGCTCAGCCCAATTAAGAAGCCCTGCCTGCTGCAGAAGCCCAGTTATTGCTGTTCTCAGCCTCTCCATGCAGAAGTGCCATTCCCATGCTGTGGTAATCCCTTTGGGATTGGATTTCCCATATCCAAGGGTATTATGCCCAGTTACAGCTCAGAATTGGAAATGGCAGCTGCCCGGGATCACCAGATGGGCTGTGGCACTGCTGGACATCTCAGCCCCAATGCTGCTGCCACAGACACAGCATCCTGCACAAAGTCCCACCAAGAGATTTGTAGCAGAGAGACTCTGCTGGAGCCAGGCGTTGGGCAGAAGAATGGGAGAGAGAGGCACACTGAGCAGGGCTGCTGAGTCACCCAATGTGATGAGCCTTCTGCTCAGACAGACCTGCTCTAATGGCAGGTTATTTTATACAGAGAGCAGCTTTGGGCCAGGGCAGGAGCAATCTCAGTGAGAGCACTGGGAAAAGCATTCATTGACCATTGTGTTTATTAGCCATTCAGATGCAGGGATCACAGCCTGCCCTGCACAGTCAGTGGCAGAGTCCTGGGTAGGTTACTCGCATGCCACACCGTGATGAGCACCCTGGGGAATCAGGGTAAACCTGGCACTGTGTGGTCCCTCAAAAGGCTCACCATGGAATTGCTTTGCCTTCCCAGTTGAGCAGCATCCCGCTGTGCTTCTCAGAGAGGATGGGCAGCACTGACAGCAGCCCCCGCACACTCGTGTCCACCGTCAGGTCAGCCTGCAAAGGGCATCAGCAAGGAGCAGGGCTGAGACCCACCAGCACCCATCCCAGCTCACACTCATCCCAGCAAAGCTTCCTGCCCCCAGGCTGGGGAAAGCCACAGGAGTTGGGATGGAAGAACATTTGGGTATCTGCATGGTTTGGATGGAGGTGGATTGGGCTAAGAAGCCAGCTGCAGGTTTGGGGGCAGCTCCAGGAACCAGGCACACAGAGCTGAGCCATATAGAAGTTCCTGCTGCAAGTGGGATGCTGTGTGCAGGTTCATCAATGCCCCATGGTTATAGGGACCCCACTCCCTCCCCCAAAACGGATCCTGCAGTGTGAACAACCCCTTACAGGATGAGTCCTACAAGATGGAGGTCTCATCACAGCACATCTCTGGAACAGCCCAAAGCCTTGTCCCCCTGAACCAGCCTCCTCCAGTCTCAGATGGAGGCTCTGGCACAGGATGTGTACCAATGCCACTTCCCAGGTGCACCATGCATAGAGGCCCATGTCCTGCAGAAGCTCAGCCTGCACCCACCTCCTGGGTGCCCATGTCAGTTTTCACCCAGCCGGGGTGAAGTGCCACGCACAGGATCCCAGCCTCGCTGTAGGTCAGAGCCTGGCACCTGGTGAGCATGTTGAGGGCAGCCTGGGGGAGGAAGAAAGCATTAGAGTGTGCCATGCACCAAGCTCCAACCCCATCTGTGCCTCAAGGTGAGGGAGAAAAACCAATGCCAGATCTTCAGGAGATGGTGAACAGTGCAAGGATCCCCTAGGTGGGCAGGGAACGGGCATGGAGGTGCCCATGATGGTGACCAACACATTTACATTCCTCCATCTCATAAGCTCAGCTGCTGCCCCAAGAGCAGGCCTTGCAAGAGCCAGCTCTGACTCCCAGCCAGCCCCTGAGCCCCCACCTCCTTACCTTGCTGCAGCGGTAGGAGATGACCGGCTTGAAGTAGGACTCAGGAGTTCTCTCAATGGACCCCAGGAGGGTGGAGATGTTGATGATGGCTGCCTTGTTGCAACTCAGTCTTTTTTCCTTGCTGTCCTGGGCAGCCTTCTTCAAGAGGGGCAGGAACGCCTGGGGACGAGCAGCCTGGTGGGTGCCCATGCCCCAAGCTGGCCCAGAGAGAGGGTGTGAGCACCAGCTGGCACCATCCTCTCCTTCCCACAGCCTCAGAAAGCCTTATGGGACCTTCACAGTGACCAGAGAGGCCCACGGCTGAAGCCAAAAGGAACAGAAGGCAGAGTTACCTGGGCCATCAGCAGCGGTCCCACCGCATTGGTCTTGTATGCCCGTATCATCTCTTCAGAGTCCACCGTCTCCAGTGACACCGGGGTAAAGATGCCAGCATTGTTTATCAGCAGGTTCAGCCCTGCGCCGTTCAGCTTCTCCTCCACGATCTTTGCCGCGTTGACAATGGCTGAGGGATTTGCAACATCTGCAAGTGGCAGAGAATGGCCTGCGGTCCCATTTCCCCCAGCGCAGAAGGGTGCTTAGATTTGTTTCTGAACGCTGAACACCTTTGTAATCCCTGGGGGTGGAGTCCACCTGAGGGGCTTGGGGGGAAGGTATGGGTTAAGCTCTCGAGAGCAGCCGGACATCTCAAACTGCGCTGTCTCTTCCCCTTGTGGGCACCAGAGGGTGCTGTGCAACCAGCCCAGAGCACCAAGGCACCCAAAATCTCTGCAACGCGCGGGGTGCCCTGCAGACAACCCCAGGGTGCTGGTGCAATATTCCCTTGGGAGGTTTGGGGGGGGGAACAGTCCCCAGAGTGACAGCCAATAGTTGGTATCCAGAAGCTCCCCGTCCTGTGGCCACAGGGAGAGGGATGCTGAGGCTGTGGGAGGTGTGGGATGAGGCAGGGATGGAGGAATTGGGCTTTGGGTGGTAGCAGCATTTGAAGGCAGATGTTGGGATGTGGAGCCAAACGCAGAGCCTGTGGCCAGAGATGGGAGGAGAAATGGGACCAGCGTGGTTGGTGGCACAAAGGTATCAGCCAACAGCCAGGGCACACCTACCCAGCTTCACCAGCACCAGGTTTGGGTGTTTAGATGCTAGATCTCTCAGCTCCTGTGAAAAGAAACACAGAAACAATCAGCAGGAGGTGGCTGTGATGCCAAGAGCAATGCCAGGGTGCCCGCGGTCGTCCATTCTGAAGGTTGGGGAAGACTTATCTGGATGCAAACAGCACAGTCGCAAGTCCTGGATGCTTTGGGTGCTACATCTCACCTGCCCTGCAGAAATGGGTCCCTCTGCTCTGACCCTCCCTTACCTCTAGCGGGTCGTAGACAACAAGAGCGCATTCAGTGTGCCCAGATTGATGACAACCTCTCACAAAGACGCCCACAGAGAATGCGACAGGGGAAGAAACTGTTCCCAGTACCCAACCCGAACCTCTTCTGGTGCAATTTAAGGCCATTACCACCAACACAACCCTCCACCGTGGCACAGGGTAAACACTGACCCTGGCCATCACCATCAGGCCGCGTGTCCCCACGTCACCCCTGGGCACAGGCAATGCTGGCAAACGCTTCTCTGTGTTGCGATGGCCAGCGTGCATCCCTCCCCCTGCTGCCCAGCCGCCTCTCACCCCAACACCCAAAGGGCGATGAGGAGCGACGGCGTTAAGGTGGTTCCTCCCCAAAACAACGTGTCTGCTCCACGTTTCAGCGGGTGGTACAGTGGCCGTATTCAGACACCAGCGGCCTCCAACCTGCCCTCAGCACAGCTCAGCAGCCCCATGCCCTCATCCCCACCTCCGCCGCCCCGCAGCTCCGTGCCCGCGGCCCACGTCCCCCACCCGCACGCTGACCTTCCCCCGCTCTCCCTCTGGGTCCCGGCAGGTCGCAAAGACGTGGGTGGGTGGGTGAGGACCCCCAAGCAGCTGCCTGACCAACTCCAGCCCGATGCCGCGGTTGGAGCCGGTGAGCAGCACGCGGCGGGCCTGCAGAGCCGCCATGCCCCCCTCCTGCCCGCTGCCTGGGGACGGCCCAGCCTGGCACCTCCCTCCTGGGGCCCAACGCAACGCTTGGGCCCTGCGCGCGCTGCGGGTGTCGTTGTGGTGCTGGTTTGTGTTCCTTTTTTTTACATACACTGAAGTAAAACACCGCCGGCACAAGTAAATAGAGCAGCAGATCGATCGTGAGCAGTAAAAAGAGCCCTGAGAAAAGCGTCACCCCAAGCAGCTCTTGCTGGGTGCTCTGCAGGGTGTGCGGCGCCTGCTCCGTTCTGGGCTTTGGAATGGGAATTCTGTTAGCTGAATGGTGGGAGCATTACGGGAGATTGCAAGGAGAAAGGAAAAATGAGAAAAGGAAGGAGAGGAAGAATAAAGGAAGAAAAGGGAGAAAGGAACAAGAGGAAAGAGGGGAAGGGAGGAAGGGGGGAAGAAAGAGGGGAAGGAAGAGGGGAAGGGAGGGAGGAAGGAAGAGGGGAAGGAAGAGGGG